CCAGAGCCCCCCGGGGTTAAAAGTAACTTTTGTGCAGAAAAAAATAAGTTGAAAATAGCAACATATTAACATAGAATATGCCACTGTCAGATGGAGAGCAGGTCTGGACTGTTCAAGGGCAGGGGGCTGTTGGGGGGATGGGGCGGGGGTCTTGCAATTAGAATCGAAACAAATGTGATTTATGCTGAGCGCCCATGTAGAAATACCATGCTGGCATTTATTTCTACAATGTTACAGTGTGGGCTGCAGAGGTCCCAAGGCGGCGGCTGCTGTCTTTACTGTCCTGCTGCCCCCTCCCCCGCCAATGCTGGCAGAGTCTGGCGCTCCTCCCAGCAACTCTAGCAAGAAAGTGCTATGACCACATCACCATCCCTACTATGAGCAGGAGGAGCTGCAGCCAGGGGGTAAGTTCCCCAAGCCCCATGATCTAGTGGGGAGGGAACCTTGGTTTGCATCCAAGACCCCTCCTTGGTCCACACCCAGCCCCTGACCCCTCCCCACCCCAGGTCCTTGCCACCCTGGTCAGCCTTCTGGGCCTCCTGGGGTGTGATGCACCCTGGTGCCTCTCCTAGAGCACTAACAGAGTGCACTGCTCCAGGTGGCAGCTCCATCATCTCCTGCTAGATGAATGACTAATGGACGGTGGCTGAGTACACACCCCTCACTAACTGGCAGTACCTCGTGCCTTTTGCTGCTTCACGTCACGATGCTAAGGTGAATATTTCTCCCCACTGACACTGCAGACACTACTACCATGCATCTTAGCTTGGGTTCCCCCCAGTCAAAGCCCGAGACAGGCTCGTGTGCGGGCCGTGGGTTTTGGAAGCTCTCCCAGGGAGGCAAGCAGGCCAGGGAATGAAACATCCATGGTGGGCCTGGAGCTTTCACCCCCCGCGTTCCCCCACCTGCTCTGGGGCTTGGCACATCAGCGGGCTGGAGGCGGGGGCAGGAGGAACAGCACAGGCCAGCCCTGCCCCCCGGGCGCTGACTCCTGGGGGGGAACGGACACAGGACGAGGGAGCAAAAGAAGGAAGGAGGTGAGCTGAGATGGGCGACTGGGGCAAGGATGGGGTGGGGTGCTCCTTGGGCAGGGCGTCAGGAAGTCTGCAGAGGGGCCCCTGAGCTGAGATCTGTGACCAGAGGGTCTGGCTGTCTTGCACAGATCCGGGCTGGGGGAGAAGGGGCCGCAGTTGCAAAGGTGGGAGAAGTCCCGAGGCCCTCTGTGTGGCTCGGCGCAGCTGGGAGGGCGTGAGTGGGTCGGAGGTCGACAGGAAGTTCCGGCAGGTGTCCAGGAGGAGGTGGACACGCAAGGGCCAGGCAAGGAGGCGTGGAGAGGGTGACGAGGCCTGGGTTCAGCATCTGTCTGGGTCTCAGAGCTTGCTCATACATTAGGGGGTGGGTGGAGCTGGGACAGGAAGGGTCCAGGTGGTGACCCAGGGGAAGTGCAAGAACAAGGACCAGCCTCTGAGGCTCCAAGCCCCCTCCCACGCGGGGGCATGAGCAGAGCTGGGACAGGCACTGAGGCCCAGTGCTGGTGGGAGGGGGGGCGTATCCCAAGTCCCACCACGCTCTGCTCACTGTCTCCAGAAACTGCTCCTTTGAGACTAAACATAAGAAATAAAAGTCATTTTGTAATGAATTTATTCAAAAAGCATTAATTCAACAAATGCTGGTGGCATCCCCTCTTACCCCCTCCCAACTGATTCCCACCTCGGGCTCAAGCCCAGCTGGTTGACACGCACGCACGGACCAGGGATCCCTGGCCCGGAGTCCCTCTTCCTGGCTGTCAGCTCCCTGTGCCTGGCCCTCCCAGCCTGGCATCACAGGGGAAGGCCCAGGGCTGGGGCAGGGGCTGACCATCACCCAAGGACCTGACTAGATTCTTCCTGACACCACGAGGCGACAGCCAGCAAGCCCGTGGCCCCCATCTCTGTTCTCCCTTGACCAGGAGGAAGTCCTTGTTTGCCCCACGTGGCCGTTTCAGAACCGCTGCCCCGGAGGACACTCTCTGCTCCTACCATCTCAGGACCTCCAAGTGCTGCCAGAAACCATGCTAGGAAACGGGGACACAAAGGCGAAGCAGACGCTGCCCCGGTCCTCAGGGAGCCAAGGGCGAGCGGGGTCAGCCGCAGGCTGGGAAGCAACCCAAGAAGCCAAATTAGCAACAACAAAGACGTCTGCTCTGGACTGAGTTGGGGAGGATGCAGGTTGGAGGCCCGAGGCTCCCCGTCTGCCTCCCTGCTCTTTGTTATGGAGATGGCGGAGCCCCTCCCCAGTTCTGCACCACAAAACCTCAGCACCACAGGATCTCTCCGTGCTGGGGAGGAGGAACCCTGGCCGGCAGCTCCTGGTTGGTCCAGCAGCTTGGAGGAGTCGAGGAGGCAGAATTCCTAGGTGTAAAGGGTTTTCACCTCCCCCAGAAGCAAGTTCGGCCTCCTCACCAGGCCACGGTGAAGAGAGGCATCTGGAGGGCTTCATGGAGGCGGAAGGCAGCAGACAGGGCCAAAGGCCTGTAAGGAGTTCAGCTGACTGCAGAGAAGGGCTCTGAGTGCAGAGGCTGAGGCAGGTGACTTGCCACATGGCAGAGCAGCGCCAGGCGCCTGTGGGGGTCCACGCCCCCTGTCTGCCCAGCCAGTGCCACACACTCACCCCTCGCCCCAGGGCCTTTCTGCCTCCTCTAGCTGGTCACACGGACACTTGTTGAGCCACAAAATCTATGTTGGGCACAAGAAATTTCCTTGATTCCATAGGGATGCCATGGATCTCTCGCTGATGCTCTGTTCCTCTTTGCAAGGGTTCCAGGGAGGTCAAGCCGAAAGAACGTGGCCCACCCCCAGCAGGTGCTGGGACCTCAGAGCTGTAGCTAACGTCCTCCCCATGCTCTTTTTCACCCAAATTCTTCAGGTTCTTAACAAAACAACACACTAGTTTACAAGCTGGCTCCCTCCTGGAGGCCAAGCAGACAAATAAGAAGTCTTGCTAGTGCCAGGATGGAAGCATACCATGTTCACTGTTAACCAGCACCACTTCCCAGCACAACTCCAGGACGCAGCCATTCACTTTCACAATCTAAGTGCATGGAACCCTCTGGAGGCAGCCATTCACCTTACAGCTTTAATAAATGGCACCTCTGGAGGCTGATATTCACATTGCAGTCTAAGTGCCTGCCCCATCCCAGGGCAGTCAATCTCACTGTAGTCTAAATGAATAGCACCCTCTGGAGGCACCGACTCGCATTGTAGCTTGTGTGAACCCCCTCCTGGAGTTATGCAACCTGGCTGCCTAGATCAAGACCTTGAGGAAGGTCTGTCTTTCCACTTTCTACAGAAGAAAACTGCCTAAGCCCTCCCAGCCAGACGGCCAGAGCCAAGATTTTATGCCTCATCCCTCTGACGTCCAGAGATCTCCCCCTCAACAGAGCTGGTAGGGCTGGGGAGCAAAACCCCAGCTCCTCCAGCCTCTCTGTTCCTCCTGCCCCTCAGTCCTGCCTGCAAGGTGGACCTGGGAAAATACTTTGTTTGCTGGGGTCTTCATCACCTTAGCCTTCCTCACTTGAAGAGTCAACTTGCATGGACAGAAAACCACCACGCCCAGGGTAACTGCCTGTCCCTCCAGGCCTAGGGTATTACAGAAACACCTCGTTTATCCAGAAATCACCTACTGGCAACCTCACCCATCCGGAGTCTGGGGACAAGTGAAAGAATGAAAGGGAGGCTCAAACAGGCTTCAAAACACTAAGAGCCGCACAGCTGGCCCCCCAGGACCTTACTCAGGGCTCGCTTACTCTTGTTTTACACACATTTCTAACATGCATGCCTTGCTGGCTCCATGGTCCCCGGATGGTGGTTAAAAAGGACTGGGAGAGTGGATATAGGCAGCCATAGTGACAACATCATGAAGTTACAGGTGACGGCAACGGAAGAAACAGAGGATACGAAAACTCAGAATTCTGAAAGATTAGTGTCTTGGGCAAAGGGCGAACAGCATCAACAAACTCAACCTTCAGACATTCCCACAATGACGTCAGCCTCCCTCTCCTCCGAGTCCTTGGTGTGCAGGACCCTCTCTGTACAGCAGCACCTCTCACCAGCTTCCTCCACCTCCTTGTAGGACAGCCACGCATGTGTGGGTGAGCCGAGGACAGGAGGATGACACGCAGGCCACTGCTGTCCTCAGGGAGCTCAGAGCCCCAGGCTATGGAAACCGCAAAATCTCCCATTTCCCTGGTAACTCACTTATGGATAGGATGCTGCCAGGAACAAGGCCGACCTGGGCCAGCTCCTCTAATCCTCACAGCGAACCCCAGCCTAGGCCTCGTGGATCCTGTTTCACTGATGGGGAAACTGAGGCGCAGAAATCCAAAGTCCCCTGCCGGAAGTCCTGCAGCCGGTGAGTGATGTGGGCCTCCTCGTCTCAGAGAGGGCCCACTCCCTGGGGCGGCCTGCCTTCCCCCAGGATGCTCAGATTCCAGTTCAGCTGTCAGGGCTCACACGTTGGGACGGCCACTGTCCACGCTGAGGCGGCTGTTGCTCTTTACATGGTGGTGCTTTGCGAATCCCAGATCCATCCTTGGTGTGGACACCCCGCCCTTGCCCCAGACAGATCCACACTGTGGGGCAGGGCCCTCATCAGAGATCACACTTCGTGCTGTGGCTGTATATGACAACCTGCCACTGCTCAGGGCGTGGCCCAGGGTGCTTCCTGACCAGCTGTTAGCAGGGGCTTATCGGGGGCCTGCCGGAGTTTACAAACCCACCTTAGGGGACCGGACGTCAGTGCTGGCTGGCACAGCGGCTCAATGACGGAGCTGCTGGGCCCTGGCTGCCAAGCCTTCCCAGGCAGCAAGGGGCACCAAGGGCCATTCCCAGTCACACAGCAGGGCCCACCGCAGGCTCTTAGCTGCAGGACAGCTCAGCTCCCTCCTTTTGGAGGAACGCCTGATTTTCTCTGCAATGGTTAGGTGCCAATGGGGGACGACAAAAATTGGGAAGTCATCAAACCTTTGAACAGATGAGCACATCGCCTGGGGCTCCAGCCACACCCTCATCCTGGAGGGGACACAGGAAGGTCCAGCTAGAGCATCGCTGTCCAGCCAGCAGCTCCAGGCGGAAGCCCCGCCATCAGCATGATAAAGGTCCAACAGCAGAAAACCCTCAGCTCCTCCGGGTACCACAAAACACCTTGCTGATGTGACTCTTATCAACATCCCAAGAGGAAGTGCTCCTGAGAAGGCACTGTGGGGACTGCTGAAGTGGGGCGGAGCAATGCACTTGGCGAGGACACCACTGTGATGACACCGTGTCCCTGGAAACGAGAATGCCAGAGTTTCTGATTCTGGACACGATGGGTGTTATCCTCCCGGGTCCCTCCCTGATGAGCCCTTACTGATTTGTTGTTCTCGTCCTTCCATCCAGCTGTGACTGAGCAAGTCTGCGTGTGGCCTGCTGATGGGGGGCTGAGGGTGGGGGTATGGAGACCTGTGCCTAATGGGGACGGCCACATGGAGGCCACCATCTCGTTTACAGAGCTGGGCGCCATCCTGCACTCCCTCTGCTGGCCAGCCTGACCCAGGGCATGCTCCGGGCCAGTGAGGGGGGACCAGAGTCTGGGCTGGACCCCACGGGGCCTCGCTCTGGAGTACCCAGGACAGGGCGAGCGCCAGCACCCCCATCGGTGGGGCGGAGGGGCGCCCTCCGGCAGAGGCCAGAACGGGATGCCGAGCACAGGGAAGCTTTGTTCCGACCTCCACCATCGACTGCCAGGCAGACGCTCCGTGAATGGCACTGTTGTGGTATTTTAAGAAGATTCTACAAATAGCGCGAACTCACTCAGAATGGGCCTTAGAGCCAGCTTGTGAATGCTGCAGTGGTGAGGGCGGGCCAGCCGGGAGCTGGAGCCAGGACAATGGGGCCTCACAGGGGAGACGGGGCAGGATGCTGGGTGACCCAAGCCTTTTCCGGGGCTCCGTGGCCTCATTTCCCCCAGACTCACCCCCCTCCCTTCGCCCAGCCCTAGTCAGTGGCTTCCCAGGAGTTTATGGGGAAGGAGCGGGTCCCCGGTTTCTCTGAATAAAGGGAAGGGGCTGCGACATCCTTTGGGTGCCTGCTCCTCCCCGGTTTCCAGGGATTTCCAAGCTCTGATGATGTCCTGTGGGTCCCAGAGGAGTGGGGCACAGGAAGGAAGTACGTCCTTAGGTTTCCATCAGAAATCACTTTATTAGGTAGCCAGAGAAACGTCAAAGCCCCGTAGTCCTAGCAGCCAAGGACTATCAACTGGGATCTTCCCAGAAGAGTCCATTCTTGAGACTTGAAAGACAGCCGGGAGAAGAGAACACAGATTCGGGAGGCATTCCGAGCTCGGTTCAAACTTCGCTTGACCGGTGACATCTGGGTGGCCGGGGGAGAGTGGTCTACCTCTCAGAGACTCAATGTCTTCATCTCTAAAACTGACACTATCGTACCCACCCCGAGGGGAGGCTGGAGAAATCGGAGGCCCAGCTGGCGCTGCCCTTGGCACAGTAAATGCCCAGCACATGTGAGCTCCTCTTCCTTCCCAAATGAAAGACCGTTTATTTAAGGCAGGAGAGCATTCTCTGTATAAAAGGTTCCTTGACTATGGCTGAGAAACACGTCAGGCACCAAGAGCCCCTCTCAACCCTGGGAATCCACCAAGATATCAGGGCTGTGGAGTCAATGCAAACGCACAAGGCAGGACGACAGGGAGGGCTGGGGCCTGTGGCAAAGCAGACAGGCTCAAGTCTAAGCCCATTTTGTCCCTTCTGGTACTTGGAGATGTCTCAGGACAACAGAGGAAGGATTATTTTTGATAGAGTTGGCCTGACCTTCTCCAGCACATTCGGAGCAGGGCTCATGCATGGCATCCAGCTGTCAGAGGTGGCATGAGAGAATGGAGCCCCGAACCCTCACGCATGCCTTGAGTAACCTTCCACCCATTAACCGGTTGGGTAAGGAAGGCGACACCAGCTCTGTAAGTGGCGGGCACAGCTCTGTGCACAGAACCTGCCCTCGATTCATGTGGACTAAACTAGAACAAAGTGAGGTAGCCTTCCAGAGTCAAGAGACAGGAGGTCCCGGACAAGGGACCGTGGGTGGAGTTCCAGCTGGGCCACAGACGTGCTGTGTGGCCTTAGGCAAGTCACCTCCTCTCTTCTGGGCTTTTAAAATAAACTCTTCTGGAAAATGTGAAGGCCGGGCTGGGTGGCCTCCGAGGACCCCTCAGCTCACCCCCTCCGAGCCCGTGTGTGACATCTGTAGGTCCAGACCACTGATCATTAGCAAGGTGGGCTTCAGAGTGTGAATGGCGGATGGTCTCCTTCACCCTCCCGAGAGGCCTTCACTGGGAAAGAGCTTGCTCATTCCCGAGGTTGGACTAGGACGAGGTAGGTAGTGGCCCATCTGCAGGCAGGTGGCCCTGGACATGGCCGCTGGGGCCCCGCTAAGTTAGAAGGTGTCGGCGTCTCCGCAGCCCCGGCTGTCAGGGGAGGACAGCATTTGGGGCTGGGGGGCACTCACCCCACACAAGTCGTCCTGCTCCATACCCACACTGTCTCGCGGCAGCCCGGTGACACATCATTTTCCTGACCGTGTGACCGAGGCCAGAGCCCAGGCGCACGCCCAGGGGCTCAGGAGGTCAAAGTGGAGTCAGGACTTGAGCCCAGGGCAGCCGGACTCCAAGGCCATTCACGCTGCTGCCCATCTGCATCCTCCACCTACCAGAGGACAGGCCTCTCTCCGTCCGCCTCGCCTCATGAGAAAACCGAGGACGTGGACACAATCCAGTCTCGAAGCTCCCTCCTCACTCCCCAGTTCAGGGCTCTGTGCCTCCAGAAGTTGCTGATGCAGACTGGCTGGTATGCAAAGCTCAGCACAGCTCGGCCAGACCATGAGCACAGCAGCGGGTCATAAGCCCGTCCCCAGCCGCAGGTGGCTGTGCTGGGCAGGCATGGAGCTTCAGGCACCAGACAGTGAGGAGGCCACGGGGCCCTAGGGAGGCTGCTGGCAGCGACGATCTGCTAACTGGTACAGAGATATTTGAGCGTTTTACAAACATCCTGGCTGTTCTGGTGAGCGCCACCTGAATACCTGCCATGGCTGCAGACCTCCTGGGCAGGAGGGTCGGTGAGTGCTGGCCACTTAGGGCCCTCCTTTGGGGAGGCTGGAGAGCAGGCGCTGGGCGCGCCGCCCCAGCTCTCCATCCACACCTCATGCTCTGCACTTGCAGAGACAGTCACATGGTGGGCAGCGGCCACTGTGACATCACTGATTGTGACAGGGCCCAACTGAGTCATAGAAGACGGAACGGAACCCATGGGGGTGCTGGCTCCTCCTACACGGCCCTGGTGAGTTAAGGTGGGTGCCAAGCGATTAAACATCCCTCCTGTGCTGGCGCTGCGGGCTCCTGGTGGCCCCTGGGGAGCTGGCGGGAGTGGCTGACCCGCAGCGCCCCCTCCTGGCCCTCAGGCTGTGAGCCCCTCTGAGCCGGTTCAAGGAGGGGCTGCGCTCAGCACAGCACCAGCTCCAGGGGGCCGCATCTGCTTCCCCGCACCCCAAGAGGAACTCCGACCGGGGACAGGTCCTGTGTGTGACTGATCCCCAGAGAGGAACCTGGCCCGGCCGAAGCCACAAAGGAGAAGCTGCCAGTTTGGTTTGTGACTGACCTTCTACTCTTTCCAAATTGGATGTGACTAGGGAGAGTCCAGTCTGTCCGTCCCAAGTTTCACTAGTAAAGGGCATACGCCGCTTTTGGTTTTAGTTGTGTTCTCCATGGCTGGTTGGAAAAGACAACGCCCGGTGTTAAGTTGTGTTGTATTAAAACGAAAGAAACATGGAGTGTAGGTTGGGAGTGTGCATTCTGGCACAAAAGAGCCCAGGGGGGAGTGCCAGTGCTGAGTGGCCTTGGGTGGAAACTCTAGGCCTCAGTCCCCTCATCTCTAAGATGAGACAAATAGAATCCACTTTAGGGTTATTGTGAGGATTAAACGAATTCCCATACAGAAAGTGCTTAGGACAGGGCTTGGCACATAGTGAGTGTTATAAGTGCTTTTATTTCAACAAAACAACACTGGCCTCATTATTTTTTGGAGTCTTACCCTAAGCTTCAAGCCAAATAATAATCATTTCCATTATTAGGCATTTTTCGGTGTGCCAGCAACCTTATTACAGAGGCCAATTTAATTCTTCTCTTGACACAACCTGGTGAGGTTGTTGGTATCCCAGTGTACAGACAAAGGTATGCCTCTTCGGCTTAGAGAGGTAACTTGCCCCCAAGGCTGCACAGACAGTAGGTGGCAGAGCCAGAATTCAGAACCAGGTCTGCCCAACTCCAAGCTTCATGACCTTCCAACATTGCACACTGCCTCCTTGAGACCAAGCCCTTAGGCACCTTAACTCACCTCCAAGTCACCACATAGCGTCTAGGTAAAGTTTAGGTAAGAAGGACAAGACCTCGACCAGAGATGACCTAGTACCCACTCACATACCTTGGTATGAATTAGCATCTCAGTAAGTCCCATCCCCAGAGGACTGTCGCTATGTGACCTGTCTTGTAGCTTCCTGAAAAAGCCCCATTCACAGAGCATTGTCATCACTTGACCTGACTCATTCTGTGGAAAAGCCCAATCTCCACGGCATTTGTCAAAAACAATCAGTGGTAATTCTTTAACATTACGGCTGCCTAAAGCTGTGATCCTAATTGGGGCAAATGACAGCGGGCCAAAAGGAAGACCTGGGGAGGGAGAAATCCACTGGGGGCTTTGAAAAGCTCTGACATATTTCTGGAGATCTAGAAGGGCATGCGCATGTGTAGATCTGTGCCTATGAGCAGGGAGGACCTAAGAGGTCCCCAGTCTCTCACCTCTAGCTGACTTTGAGTCCCTGTGCAAGCAGGAAGTGAAGACTAAGGCAGAGTTATAAACTATCTAAGCATTAAAGGTGTGCTCACACACACACACACACACACACACACACACACACAGCAAAGGGTAGAAGACTTATTGGTTCAAGGCATCTAATCATAGCTCTGGCAAATCATTAGCTGACCACCAAACTAACCAAGGGGAGACTTGAATGACTGCATACTACAGATTTTACATATTTAGTCAAGGAAAGTCACTAAACAGCTCCAACAAAAACAACAACAACAAAACCTGGAAAGGGAAGGAGAATCTGATTTGCAGACTCACCACATTATATTATCTACAATGGCCACTTTTCAAGAAAAAAATGACAAGACACAAAAAGAGAAACAACGTATGGCCCATACACAGGAAAAAAGCAGTCAATGGAAACTGTCTTAATCTAGAATTAGACTTACTAGGCAAGGGCTTCAGATCAGCTATGATAAATATGTTCAAAGAACCAAAGAAAACCATGTCTAAAGAGTTAAAGGTAAGTACAACAACCATGTCTCAACAAATAGAAAATATAAATAAAGGAACAGAAACTGTAAAAAGAACCAAATTGAAATTTTGGAGTTTAAAAGTGCAACAACTGAAATGAAAAATTCACTATAGGGACTCACCAGCAGATCTAAGTGGACAGAAGAAAGAATCAATAAACTTGAAGATAGGTCAACTGCGATTATCCAGTCTGAGGAGCAGAAAGGAAAAAAGAATGAAGAAAAATGAACAGAGCCTCAGAGGCCACCTGAGTGAGACACCATCAAGTGTGCCCACATATACATAAGGGCAGCCCTAGGAGAGGAGAGAGGGGAAAAAGGGGTGGAAAGAATATCAGAGGGAATAATGATTGAAAACTTGCAAAATTTGTTGAAAATATTATAAATTCAAGAATCTCAATGAACTCCAAATAGGATAAACTCAGAGATTCACACCTAGACACATCCTAGTCAAACCGTCCAAAGACAGAGAATCTTGAAAGAAGCAAAAGAAAAATGACTCATCATATATGAGGGGTTCTCAAATAATGAATGGGTAACTTTCCTCAGAAACCATGGCAGCCACAGGCAGTGGGATGACATTTTCAAAATGCTGAAAGAAAAAGACTGTCAACCAAGAATTCTATATCCAGCAAAACTATCCTTCAAAAAACAAAGGAGAAATTAAGACATTCTCAGATAAACACATACTGAGAGAATTCAGTTCTTTGTCCTAGCCGATCTATACCACAAGAAATTCTAAAGAGAGTCCTTTGGGAGAAATGAAAAGACATTAGATGGTCACTCAAATCTACTGATAAAGGTACCTATACAGTTAAATATAAAAGACGGTATAAATGCATTATTTGTAGCTCTTTTCTTCTATCTGATTTAAAAGAATACTGCATGAAGCAATACTTACAAAACTGTGTTGATGGGCTTATAATGCATAAAGACATAATTAGTAAGGCAAAAATGGCACAAAGGAAGGGGAGGGAACAGTTATATTGGAAAGAAGTTTCTGTACACTATTGAAGTTAAGACAGTATTAATATGAACTAGATTACTTTAAATTAAGAGGCTAATTATAATCCCCAGGACAACCACTAAGAAAGTAACTAAACAAATACTATAAATAAGTAATAAGGAAATCAAATGCTATGATAGAAGATATCTATTTAACACAAAAAGGAGGCAGTAGGGAGGAATGAAAAAGGACAAGAGACGAATAGAAAACAATTAGCAAAATGGCTGACATAAATCTACCTCATCAGCAATCACATTAAACATAAGTGAATTAAATACTCCAACAAAAGGCAAAGACTGACAGAGTGGATTTAAAAAACAAACTGAATCCTGTCTACAAGAGACACATTCAGATTTAAAAACAAATAGGGTGAAAGTGAAAGGATGGAAAAAGATATACTGCACAAACAATACCCAAAAGAGAGCCAGAGCGGCTAAACAAATATCACACAAAATAGACTTTAAAACAGAAATGCTACTGGAGACAAAGAGGAACATTTTATAATGATAATAGAGTCAAACAACAGGAAGATATAACGATGATAAACATATAGGCCTCTAACAACAGAACTCTGTAATTCATGGAATAAAAACGGGCAGAATTGAAGTGAGATTCAATGACAATAGTTGGAGACTTCAGTATTCCACTTGCCATAACGGATGGAACAATGAGGCAGAAAATCAACAAGGAAACAGAAGATGAACAACACAAGGAACCAGGTATGCCTGACAGACATCTACAGTACACTCCACCCAATAACAGAAGATTACACATTCTTCCCAAGTGCACGTGGCACGTTTTCCAGGATGAACCTCATACGAGATCATAAAGCAAGCCTTAAACATTTAAAAGGACCGAATAAAACAAAACACAAAAGGATGGTCACTGACTACAGAGGAATGAAATTAGAAAAGGAAATTGGGAGAATTCATAAACATGGGAAAATTAACTCAGTCCTAAATAACCAAAGAAGAAATCAAAACAGAAATTTAAAAAACACTTTGAGATGAATGAAAACGAAAACACAACATATCAAAACTTAAGGGATGCAGCATGCTTAGAGGGAAACTTATAGCTGTAAACGCCCACATTATCAAAGAGGAAAGATCTCAAATCAATTACCTAACCCTACACCTTAAGAAACTAGAAAAAGAACAAATCAACTGATGGAAGGAAATAATTAAGATCAGAGTGGAAATAAATAAAGACTATAAAAACAATAGAGAAGATCAATAAAAACAAAAGCTCATTCTTTGAAAAGTTCACCACATTTGACAAACTTTAGCTAGACTGACCAAAAAATAAAAAGAGTCAAATTATTAAAATCAGGAATGAAAGAGGGGACATCACTGCCATCCTTATGGAAATAAAAAGAACTAGAAGGGAATCATATGAAAAACTGCATGCCAACAAATTAGATCACTTAGATGAAATAGATAAATTCCTCACAAGACGAATTACCAAATTCAAACTCAAGAAGAAACAGAAAACCTAAATAAATAAGCCTATAACAAGAGACCGAATTCAGAGCTTAAACATTCCCCAAAATGTTTCACTGGTGACTGAATCATTTATGTCATCACTGAATCATTTAAAGAAGAATTAATACCAGACAGTTTCACTGGTGAATTCTCCCAATTAATACCAATTGTTCAGAAACTCTTCCAAAAAACAGAAGAGGATAGAAGTGTTCCCAACACCTGAGCAGCTAGTATTCCCCTAATGACAAAACTAAGACACCACAAGAAAACGACATTGCAAGAAAACGACAGACCAATGTCCCTTACGAATACACACAAAAATCTTCCACAAAATGCTCATCGACTGACAAATGGATACACCAAATGTGGCAGACCCATCCTCTGAAGCCATGCTATTCAGCCATAAAAAGCAACGTAGGACTGACGCACGCTACACCATGGGCAAACCTTGAAAACATTACGCGAAGAAGCCATTCGCAAAAGCCCACACATTGTATGAAAGTAGTTTAGTGGATGCAAGGGGAGAGGCGGTCTTGGGAAAGCAAAGTGACTGCTAAGGGGCATGAGGTTTCTTTATGAGGTAATGAAAATATCCTAAACTTAGATTACAGCGGTAGTTGCATAACTCTGCGAATACACCAAAAACTACCGAGTGGTACAGTCTAAGTGGATGAATTCTGTGATATGGGAAATGTATCTCAATAAAGCTGTTTAAGAGTCTGGTGAGGGGGTGTTTTGGGGAGGTGCCCAGCAAAAGCTGCAGGTCAGGCAGGATATGTGTTAGCTACAAAGCCGAGTTGGGGCAGGTCAGATAAGAAGAACTGTTTTAGGGTTTCACTTCATTTAGATGCTCCTCATTTAGGCCCCAGGATTCCTTAAGGGGAGTCCCTTACAAGGCCCCCAGACCAACAAGATGCGCAAACAGGCCGCCAGGCATTTCCTTCCCCCTCTTCAGGACCCCAGGACTCTCGAGCTCTCTGGGAGGCCAGCTGCCCTAAAGGCCGAGGTCAGGGGCTTCAGGCCTCCCCAGGACTGGTCCTCTCTAGGGCCTTAAGTCCACTCCCCTCAAACCCCAGGGCCAGCAGTGTTGGCCGTGGCTATGTGCTGGTTAAACAGACCTGCCCTTGAACTTTGTCCAAGGGGGGCCGCTGGCCTCTCCCCGCTGTCTCACATCCCCTCAGCCAGGTGACAGCTGGCGGAGCCTCTCTCTGAGCAGGTGGGCAAAGATATCTGGCCTGCCAATGCCATGCTGCTAGGAGCACAGAGCTGTTCTGAGTTTCCTCAGAGAATCGTGAGAGGTTCAATCTGACGGGGGCCTCAGAGATCATTCAGTCTTGCCTGCTTCCCTTTTGAGAGATGAGGAAACTGAGGTTCTAAGTGGTAACCCAGCCAGAAAGGGGCAGAGCTAGGACTGTCACCGGGCCTTCTGATAACCCGTGAGGTCAGCAGCCTGTCCCTGTTTACAGGCCAGGATGCAGAGGCTCAGAGGTGAAGGGTGGCCTGCGGTGGCCTGGGGAGGAAATGGAACCAAACCCGCCGCGTGAGGCTGGTTCCCTTTTTGAAAAACCCACAGGGCTGCTGTCCAAGACAACTGAATAAGGAAGAGGTAACAAAAAGAGACACTTCTCAGAAACAGAGTGGGACCCATGCAAACTCTGAGCTACCGGCCGGACGCCTCGGGGCTCTGGCCCACGAGCACAGTCTCTGGAGCACAAGACTCTACCATCGCGACCTGTCCTTCTGTCTCACGTCTGTCCTTGTCAGCGCTCCTCTGTCTTCAAGGTCGAGTCAGACAGGAGCGCTCCCACACGGCCTGGCTGCTGCCAGCCTTCCCAGCGACAAGCAAACGGCAGAGCCTGGCCTGCCTTCAGGGAGCTTGTGGCTCCCTTGGCGAGGGGACAGTTTGCAAACTGACACTTTTATAGTTATGCATTGCGATATGTTTTAAAGGAAAAGTACAGGATACCAAGTGGGCAACTAACTCGTCAGGGATGGCCTGTCAGGAGAGACTGACACTTGGGCCCAGACAAACCTGAGGGTCACCAGGTCAAGAGCAGGGCAAGGTGACTCCCGGCCGAGAGAAGAGCATGGGTGACGCAGAGGTGGGACAGCACCTGGGGGCACGAGGGTGTGAAAGCAGGCCGGGGTGAGTGGGGAGGCTGGTGACCACGCGGGCCCCTGTGAAGGGCACTGAGTTCACTGTGAATGCCACTGGAGGCACTCACATCTGTGAGCAGGGAGCGATGAGATCCTGCAGGCACCCTGACTGGTCCCTGGCCACCGCTGGAGACTGGACTGGAGTGGGGAGGGTCCAAGACATGGGGCTACTGCAGTGGTCTGGGCACCATGCCGGTGGCTGGGCCCAGCGTGCTGGCCTGGGATGCAGACGAGCAGAGGGATTCAAATGCAATTTGGAAAGACACCTGGCGGGAGTTGGTGATGGCACATGGGAGCAGCAGGACAGGATCAAGAGTTTGGGTTGTGCTTGCTTAGCTTTGGCGACTCTCTGGTCCAGAAGACACCCAAAGGAGGTGCCAAGGGGGTCTGGAGCTCAGGGCAGGGCCTGGGCTGGGGCAAAGGCTGCCGACTCTCAAGAGTGTGCCAAGTGTGGGGGCAGAGGCCAGCCCAAGGAGCATTTGCTGGGGCAGGGCCCTGGAAGCAGGTGGCACAGAGGGCACCGCAGGGACCGAGGAGCCCTGTGCTGGCCAAAGGCTGCCATTCCCCATCACCTTGGTCCTAGCACACCTCCACGGGCCTGGCAGGCCCTTCTCTGTGCTCTCCACTGGGCTGGCGGCTCCTCCTACTAGACCCAGCTCAGGCACCACCTGGTCAGGGCATTTGCTGAACCTCCAGGCTGGGTGGGACCCCAGAGCACCCAGGCTGGCTGCTCCCCCTACATCTCTTCTCAGCCTGCAGCATCGCCGTCTCTTTCCTGGGTCTCCACGGGGCCAGGCTATGAGCACGTTGACAAGTCGGGAGCAAACACTGCATCATGCCCAACCTTCCACCCTCGAGCTGGGGATGAGGCCTGGCGTGGAGTGGGTGCCAACAAGTGGTTATTAAAGGAACACACATAATCCTGGGTGGCAGCTGCCTGTTGGCAATCTTGGAAGACTTTGAAAAATGGAACCTTCTTCAGAAGGTGGGCTCAGAGGCTGTCCAGGAGTTCACACGGCAGAATCAGTTCTTTCACCTCCAACCAGTGACGGCCACACCTCCCTCCATCTCTCTCCAGGACGGAGCGGGGGTCCTCTGTCGGCCCAGCTTACCCTGTGCCCAGCACCAGGAGCATTGTTGCTGCCCGTCCCACCAGCCTCTGCACACTGGCTGCCGGGCACCCCGCAAGCTCTTTGTCCATGAGGACAGGGGCATGGAGTCCACGCCGAGTGTCCCAGTCTATCACAGTGGAGTGATCATGCGCCCAGTGGGGCTGGACCCTCCCAGCTGGCCTGGCACTGGGATTCCCTGGGCAACGGGTGACATGAACGGCGAAGATGAGCACAACCATCTCCCTCGTCTCTGCTCCATGCACCGCTCTCTCGCCAACGTCCCCTGAGCACGGACTCTCTACCGAGCATGGGGCCACCTCACAGAGGTGACTCAGACCAACCAGGCCCTGGAGAGAATGAAATGAACCAGGCCTGGGGCAGGGGTTCAGAGATGGTTCCAGGTACAGGCCACTTTCCCCGGGGCTGGACCCCTCTCAGGCCCCACTCAAGGTGGCACCGTGAGAGGGCGTGGGGTGTGCAGGGACCAAAGAGGGCCAGGCTGTATGGTGCGGGGGGGTTGGGAGGGGCTGGCGGAGGAACATGCAATGCCGGCAAGGCTAAGAAGCTGGGCCTTCTCCTGGAGGCACTCTGGGCCCAGGCAGAGCCTGAGGAGAGACATAATGTGCTGGGAGCCGTGCATGGGACACTGGCTTGGGCACTGGACTAGAAGAGGCAAAGGTGAAGCTGGGATGACCAGAGCAGTCAAGATGATGGTCTGCACAGGCAGCGCAGTGGCCTTGGAGGCAGGAATGGGGACACTGCCCTGGGCAGGATAACAGGAGCTGCCAGCCTTTGGTCTTGGGAAATGAAGCCATGGGCAGGGCTGAGAGCCAGGACACCGGGGGAAAGGGCAGGTGGGGCGCAGGACCGGAGATGAGCATTGCAGAGGTGGGGGGCAGAGGATTTGGGGGACTGCTTGCTTAGAGGCGATCGCAATGATCAGGGCCCAGGGGAGACTTACAGACAGAGCTCAAAAGGTCAGACAGAGAATTCACAGACCACTTGGTGTATTAAAGGGGGCAAGAGGGGGAGAAGCGAGGAGAAGGGCTGGGCAGGGGTGGGGCGGGCCGTCAGGTGCTCAGAGCATCAGGCCTGTTCGCCTGTTTGCCAGGTCCAGCAAGGCGACAGGGGTAAATGCAGGAGCAGGAGAAGGGGGAGGCGGGGCCAGCAGACTGCGCGCCTGGAGGCGAGAGACTGGCTTTGAAAAACCTTCTGATGAGCAACTCAGGCAGGTGTGCAGGCTGACAAGGAGCCCGCAGAAGGGAGGACGAGGGTGTTGGGGAGAGAGGGGACATGATGGGACAGGATTCTGGAAGACAGATGGGGGATCCCGGTGCTGAGACCAGAAGGAAGCGTGAGGGGCTAGGAGCCCCAGAAGCATCGTCTGTGATGAAGCAGCAGCAGGCCCAGGGCACCAGAGGTCAGAGGTCTCCGGGGCCCACCAGTCTGCCCTTGCCCCCTCCCTGGGCTGGAACCAAAGCCACCTCAATGCGGCACTCCTGTACTGCTTCTTCCTCAAGCTGAAGAAAACGACATTTGCCCCCGAACAGACGCACCACAGAGCTCTCCATAGCAGAAGCATCTGGAAACACCACCTAGAAACAATGCAGTGAGACAGCGTCCCCAGAGTTCAGAGCAAGCCCGTCTGCCCTCTGCTTCTGGGAGGGTGTAACCCTTCTCTACACATCAGATCCCGCTCACTGACCTTCCCGCCTCTTCACGAGCACTGGGACCCGGGATGCGCCGTTTCAGCCATCTGTCTCGTCTACGATGGGAAGTGCGATTGACATCCCCGCACATGGGGCCTCGAAAAGCGCCTGCAGTGATCCCTGGCCTGGTCCACGAGGCCCACCTGCAGCTCCGTGCAGCTAGTGGGGGAGCAGGCGTCCCCTGGAGAGAGCGCCAGGCTTTGCACCCTAAAGGCAGGACGACGGGATCCACTATGGTGACCCTGGCGCGTGATGTATATTCGCTGCTCTCTTCACGGGATTTATCGTTTGAGCTTTTCTGCTTTATCAAGTACACTTTTGCACGGGGATCATATGGTCAAATACTCTGAAGTTTGGATTCAGAAATACCCAAGAATGAAATCCGTAACAACAGCTGTTGTCTTGAAAAAATTTAAGTGACATCAGTGACTAACGGACTCTCTTTCGATCACTTCCTAAATAAAACACACATACACACACACATTTCTAGTCTGGAAAGTCAGAAAGCTCGTTCCACAGGTAGTTTGCAACTGCTCAACATACACACACACATGCACCCTGGGAAGAGATGGACTGTGTCATTGCCGTGACAACTGAACTCAGTTTCGTGAGTTAAGCAGCATTTCCCAAAGTGTGTCCAAAGATACTGGTGCCACGTGAAATGCAGGTTCCCTGGGCAGAGGTTTGGAAACTGTACCTACAAGTCACGTGACTTGGAGACGCACAGCTGCACCAATGCATTAAAGGCTCTGAGAAGTCCTGCTGTGCCAAACATTCCAAACTTTGCTAACTCACGATTTCTAAGGTTATTTGACCAAGGAACCCCTTCCACCCTGTTTATGGTAGAACTCATTTTGAACAGTGGTCCAAACTGTCCATCACCTAGCTAGAATGGCCACAAGGGTTCAAATTTGTTAAATGAGGCAAGAATATTTAAACATTTGGAGATATGACATGAAAAAGCTAGGGGCCGGGCCAGTGGTATAGTGGTTAAGTTCGCGTGCTCTGCTCCGGCGGCCTGGGGTTCGTGGTTTTGGATCTGGGGTGCAGACCTATGCACCACTCGTCACGCCGTGCGGTGGTGGTGTTGCATGTATAGAACAGAGGAAGATTAGCACAGATGTTAGCTTAGTGACAATCTTCCCCAAGCAAAAAGAGGAAGATTGGCAACAGATGTTAGCGCAGGGCCAATCTTCCTCACACACACACACACACACACACAAGCCAAATGTCTGCCTTCCTTGAACCATAGACCATCCTTCCTGCCTGGCAGTGGGCACCCACTCTAGACAGGGCAGGCACACTCTAGCGTCACAATGCTCCCCACCTCCTCTCGCCCCAGACTTGGCCAGCTTTGCAATTTACATGGGCTGCAGGACTTTACAGGCCCTTCAGACAGGGTCCCTGCTCCCAGGCTGCTGTGGCCAGCTGTGTCTTGGGGTGGATGGGAAGGTGGGGGCAAGTGAGGAAACACTCCTACGCCAGGCCCCTTCCTCACCTGGATCGCTGTAGCCCAGGTGTCCACAGCCCCGGAGGACAAAGCTAGCAGGAGATGTACCCGGCTCCCTTCTGGGGCTCCTAGTTGAGCGCACACCCTCCCTAACCGACGCCTTGCAAATCCACCCTTGCTTCTGGGACGCAGGCTCCCTGCCAAGTTTACTGAGGAAAGGGTCACGAAAAGCTGCTCCAGCCCGGCCAGCCCCAGTGAAACCCTTCCTGCTCTGGGCTCCCACCTGCCCTGAGTCCTTCTGCTGCCCTGGCTACTGGGACCGCCAAGACCCGCCCCCTTTCAGTCCCCTCCTCCGAACACAAGCCCCACATGCAAAACTCTTTTTTTCTTTTTTAAAACTGTTGCTCTGCGGCAATGAGAACCATGCAACGATTCCCATTTCCTTTTTGGTCTGGGCTGCAAAAAGGCTCCAACACAGACGGTATCTGGCGGCCGGAGTAACCGGGCTCTTCTCTACGTCCTGTTTAAACGTACAGTCCTGTGTAGTTCTCTTGTATTTATTCGTTCTACACGTTATAATCCACCTCAAACCCTTGGTGAAACAAACCTGTACATCTGTGGCATCATTATCATCACCTGGACAAGAGTCCTTCAAGCTGCGTGACACACTCATACCTTTGCTTTATCTGGATCCACAACATACTTTTCAAGGAACCGGGACCTGGCGCGCATTCTGGTGAAACCTGGGCTACCCACCTCCCCCAGTCATGGCAGTCGCCTGGGGAAGTCCTTAAACACACAGCTTCGCAGACCACTCCCATCCGGCAGGTCAGGGTGGGGCCCGGGCATCTGCACGTTTAATAAGCGAGGGCAGGGGAGATCGGGAAGCGCTGCCCTAAAGGGGCGCCCCACCACGTTGCCGACGATCCACGGGGCTCTCGTCTCAGCCCGTCAAGAGTTAAGTCGGAAGGGCCAGTGCCCGAGGGAGGCCTGACCCCGGGCGGCCGCCGACGTCCCCAGCCCGGGTCTCGGCTGGGAGCCCTCTCCAAGCCCGCCGCATTCCACAAGCAGCCCCCCTCGCAAGTCCCGCCGCGACTTCTGGAAAACCCTGAGTCAGGGCCCTCGGATCCAAGTTTGTGCCAGCGGCGCACCGGGAGAATGAATGGCCCCCTAGCTCCCGGCGGTTAAGCCGCAGCGGCGGGCGCGGCGCGGGCGGGTCCCTCCTCCCGGGAGCCGCGGGCGGCGCGGGCGCTCCTCCGCCCGCCGTGCACTTGGCCGCCCCGCGCCGCACCCACCGGCCGCTCGGGGCCCCGCAGCGGGCGCCCCTCGCCGCTCTGCTCCCCTCCCGCCCTGGGGCCCGAGCCCAGCCCCCAGCCGCGCTCGGAGGAGCAGGAGGAGCCCTGGACGCGCGCTCCAAACTTCCCGAGGCGCTGGGGGAGTTGCAGCCACACCTGAGCCCTTTCCAAGGCTGAGGATGGGGGCGGGCGCCCAAGTCCCCGAGGCGGGGAGGGCGACCCCCCGCAGCAGCCGAAGGCAGCGGCGGCGCGCGCCCAGTCCGGAGCGCGGAGGTCCCGAGCCCGCGGCGCACGTGCGCGCCCGAGAGTTACCTTTGGGCGCTGGCAGGTGTCCCCTCCAGTCCTTGCAGCAGCACAGCCCCATGGCAGCCGCTCGGCTCCGCTGCCCGCCGCGCCGCCTGCTGCTGGCACCCGCGGGCGGGGAGCGCCCAGCCGTGCGCGGGGCTGCGCGCGGGGCCGCCGGCCCGGCTGCCTCCTCGGCCTCACGCCCGGCCCCAGCCCCGGCCCCGCGCCGCGGGCATCCCGGCCTCCGGGCAGACCCTGCTAATCAATAGGAGAACGCGCAGATCGCGCGGCCGGGCCGCTTTTATCTCCGCGCCGGGGCGGCCCCGCGCCGGCTCCCTGCCCTCGCGGGCGCCCTCCCCGCGGCCCGTTACTCGCCCCGGGCGCCAGCGGCGCGCTCGCCGGGGGCCGCCAGGGGGCGCTGTGCGGGCGGCGCGGCCTCGGGCTCCCTCCTGCTCCCCTGGGGAGCTGAGGAGGGGTGGGGGCGACCCTGGCCTGACCTCTGGGCGGCGCAGACAGGAAGGAAAGGTGCCCTCGCTGTGCAAGGGTGGCGCGTCCCCTCCCCCAGCATCCTCTAAGCAGTCCCCTCGTGAGCCACTTGGGGGGCGCGTGCGTACTAGGGCCACCCCCCCTCCCATCTTCCCAGCTAGCCTGAACGATACAACTGGGCAACAGAGGGAAAACAGTGTTCGCCCGGGCCACCCCCAAACCTGGCTGGGCTGCCTATGGACTGTGTGACTTTGGGTAAGTCACTTCCCCTCTGAGACTTTCTTTATCTGGAAAGTGAAGGAAATGACATCATTGCAGACCTCTTTGCGCACGAGTGAAAGGTTTGATAGCGTCAAGTTATTTAAACACTTTGTGCTCAGTTTTCCCATCTATAAGATGGAGAGAATGAGAGAAGAGCTTCACTGGATTCTTCCGAGGATTAACGCGTGGAGATATATACACATAACTTAGAACACACTGGTGTGTTCCTCGGCGCTCCGTAAGTGGGAGCTATCATCGCCATAAGTGTTGGTGTGGATTTGGGCAAACGGGTACTCTTGCCGTGAGGGTGCCTTTTGGTGCAATCACTTTGGAAAGCAACATGCGAGCTGCTTATTAAACTAAATATACTAATACCCGGGGAGGATGCAATTCCATTTCTCCGTGTGCACCCCCCAGAAAAGCTTGCCCACACACCTGGGAAAACCCACACAGGGCTGGGCACTGCAGCTTTGGTTGTAATTGCAAAAAATTGGAGCCAACAATATGTTTGTTGGTAAAGGGATTATCAGGTACACTGGCATTTTCATAAAATGGAACGGTGTATCAAAGGACAGAACTGGGACCGAAGGATGGATTCATGGCACTTACGTAAAACACACACCACAGGTCCTTACTGTAGTGCTCGCTCTGGGAGGGCACTGGTCTGTGCGGGCCTGGAAAAAGACACCGGAGGGAGAAAACCGAGAGTGGTTCCCTCTGGGGAGAGGGCGAGTGACGGGAATAGACTGAAAGTCGGTGTCAAGAGAATTTAGGGTTTTTCTAAAAAGGAAGGCATATTTACATATTGTGTAATTAAACAATAAAATGAGAGACATTATTTCAAGTGTCTGGCACAGAGTAGGGTTCTTAATACCAGCCTCTTTTGCCCCTCTCCAGTTCCTGGGATCTCTTCCTGCCTCTGAAACCTCTGATGGCTTTGGCCTCACTGGCATTTTCTGCCTTCCACCCCACACCCCTCCCATCTTGGGAAAACGGAGGTGGTCCAGGCGGAGAGGAGAGGCCAGGCCTGGCCGGAGGCTGAGCTGCCTGAGGCCTGGAGCAGAAGAGTTAAATGCAGTGGTGGGAGGAAAGGAGGAAAGAAAGACTTGGAGCAGGCAAGAGGTTTTCCCAGGAGTTAAGTCTTATTCAAAGGAGAGATTAACAACAGTGGGCACATCTCGGCCTCCCTCTCCTTTAACTCTCCGGAGACACCAGGGTGAGGCTTCTTCGGGGAGGGAGGAGGGGTGCCCTGCACTCGATCTGGAAAGAAAGATGTTTTCACTTCGTGACATGTAGGCGGGGGTTACAAAGCGGGAGTAACTGAGAAAAAGCAGAGAGACCTGACTTCTGGTTGCTGCCAAGTCATTTTAAACAGTTTTAGCACCAAGCAAGATCACTTAGTCACAGCGGGCTTAATGAGGCCCCAGGAATTCCAAGCTGGAGCTCCCTGCATTCAGGGAGAGCATGTGTGGGGAGCGAGCCCCCGGGTGATTGTCCAACGGCCAAGTCCTACATTTGGAAAGCAGGATTTAAAAGAAAACATCACAGCGGCCATTGTGGGCTGCTTGTTTATCTTTCTAAGAGGAAGTAGCAAAGCAGGATCATTTCAAACGAGCCTATTATAGAGGGTCAGCATCCCCATTGAACAGTTCAAATATATTTTGGGATACTCGACTTTTCAAAGTGGCTTTAAATATCAACTCCCAGGGCAGCTTAGGAGACAGAACAAGGCAAGAGCTTCTAGTGTGATTGCCTTTGGGTCCACACACTTTTTAAATTCCTGATTATACGTTGTCTTTTTATAGTTTTCTAGTTGTGTGTCTATACCTCAAAAGGGAAGGAGAATAACAGTCACTCTGTGCTTCCCACCATGAGCCAGGCAATTTACAAGTGCTATTATCTCAGTTAACCACAGGTCATCCCCATGAGACAGATGCCATTAGATGCAGTTTAGAGAGGAAGAAGCTAAAATTGAGGGAGGTGAAGGGACTTGCGCCAGACCAGTGAAGTGGTAAGTGGCAGAGCCAAGACGGATGGATGGATGGATGGATGGATGGATGGATGTGTGGATGGATGGATGTGTGGATGGATGGATGGATGGATGTGTGGGTGGGTGGATGGGTGGATGGATGGGTGGGTGGGTGGGTGGATGGGTGGGTGGACGGGTGGATGGATAGATAGATGGATATATGGCATTTCCCCAGTTAGGTGTCGAGTCGTGGGCTGCAACTGGGAAAGCACATACTAAGCATGGAGTTTGCCTGAAAAACCTAACTTCTTGAACCCAGCTCTGCCCCTTGGATTGCTCATGACCCCACACCATCTTGAACTGAGCCCAACGGCAGGATCACTCAGTGCCGCGAGGCTCGAGCTCAGCGCAAGCCGCCCCACTCCAGAAGGGTGAGCAGGGAGGTGGGGGCCTCTGAGGCATCTTCCCATGCTGGGAAGCCGACATCCTGCACGTCACAGGAGGCGGAGCCAGAACAGGGCTGAGTATCCAGCGAGGGCAATGGACCCTGGGAGGAGAGATGGAGCTGGTTTGGGAGGACAAAGGCTCTGGGGGGCTGGGCTCCCCCATCCACCCAGGGCCCCACCTCCTGCTGCTTTATTCCATTCTCTGCGAGACCCAGAGCTCGGTACTAAGGACATGAGGTTGTCTCTAGGGAGGCCGCTGCTGCTGCTGGGATCCTGACCATATGCAGCCTGAGCCCCTGGTTCCCCATGTGCCCCAGGCCATCCAGGGATTGGTCTGGGGACTCAGACCTGGCCTTCGTACCCTTCTACAGGAGTCTGGTGGCTCCTCCTGACATCCCCCATCCTGGTACTATCTCAAGGTGTGAGCTCAGCCCTGGGCAGCTCAGGAAAAGGTAGCAATGGGGACGGGGCATCTTAGTCACAGGTGTAGCTCTGGGGGGCTATGATCATCATTCGTTCATTCTCTCATTCATTTATTCATCCATGTACCAAACGGTGACTGAACACAACTGAACCAGGGCCTGAGCTCTGGGGAGGCCGGGAGCTCTGGGGGTCAGTGACCCAGTCTGCTGCTGGGGGTCAGGAAAGGCTCTGCAGAAGAGAGGTCTTTGAGGTGAGAGCTGAGCCACGAGGGGGAGTCCAGCAGCTCAGAGGAGGGTGTGAGGGTCCTCCGGTGGGCAGTGTCACCAGGTGAAGGAGCTGGGTTCTGCGTCGGCTAGAGCGGGGCAGGGCACGGAGGGCAGGGGAACAGGATGCAGCCTGTGATTCTGAGCGTCCGCCTGGCGCTGGAGTGAATTCGGGCCCAGAAGGGGCGACAGGGAGCAGGCAGAAAGCTGAGAAGCCAAAGGCATGGACCTGGTGGGAGAGGTCGGAGGGACGGAGGCCAGGCGGGCTGCGTGCTGGCAGGTGGCCTGCGACCCCGCCTCCCTGTTCTCGCGCCCTCTCTGCTCCTGTCCCCTTGAATCTGGGCTGCCCTGTGACCTGCTTTAACCAACAGGAGGTGACAGCAGTGACTCTGGACCAGTTCTGGGCCTAAGTCCTAAGGAGGCTGGGCGGCTTCTGCTGGTGTCCTTGTGAGCAGTGGGACTGTCCTGAAGCCGCCATGGTCCAGGAAGCCCAACCCAGCCGTACGGAGAGGCTGCACAAAGCACTGTGGTCAGGACCAGCAACCGCGGCTTCCAGCCACAGGACCGAGGCGCCCTGGAAGTGGGTCCTCCGGCGGATACAGGACAGCAGACAAGCTGTCCCTGCTGAACCCCACCCACTGCACAGCCGTGAGCAAATAAAAGGGTCAAGTCACTAAGCTTTGGGGTAGCATGTTCCGCAGTCACAACCGAAACACTGGGACTAAGACCTAACCCTAACAGCTACCACTGCCTGGCCCCGATGGCAGGCCGGGCTAAGGGCATGACCTTCCATTAGAATTCGAGCAATCCTATATATTCGTATTGGCATCATTTCCACTTTAAAGAGGGCAACACTGAGGCACAGAGAGGTGAAGAATTTTCACAAGCTCACACAGCTCATCACTGGCTGAGCTCAGACTGGAACTCAACCCGGCTTGTTTCGGAGCCTGTGCTCTTTATGACTCTCTGGCGGATGTTTTGGAGGAAGGGACTGCACTTGGCGATGAATTCAGTACCCCAGGGCTCTAAGGCCCATCTGCAGGTGAGACTTGCAGTAAAAGAGACAGTGTCAGTAGCGTGCTGGACGGGGTCTGGCGGGAAGGGCACGTGAGCTCAGCTCACTGCTCTGTTAGCTTTTCAGAATGATGTCTGCTTCCTGGCGGCCTGGGCACGTGGCACAGGGAGTTTCTTGAAGATGAAAGCACTTCGTAGGCCGCTTATTACAAAACCCCCCGACACCACTGGTGCTAGGAGCTCATAGACAGGGTCTCGCTTACTTTTCACAGCGGCCCCGTGATGGCCATACGTTATCACACTCATTTACAAGTGAGAATGTGGACACCTGCCCTGGGTATGCAAGCTCTCAGGGTCACACGGTTCATGGGAGCCTGGACTGGAATCTGGGCTGTCTGACCAGCCCCCTGCCCCCTACAGCTGAGGGTCTCCACCTGGGCCTGCCTCCCCTTCTCTCATCCTCTCCTCCATCATCGTTCTCATCTGTGTCAGGGGTTGGGCCGAAATCCAGCGTGCCCACGCCATATGAACACCGCCATCGGCTCATGGACATCCTGGAGTTGGAAGGGACCTCACATGTTAACACGGCCTCCTTGTCGTTCATGGGAGATCAGAGGTCCAGCAAGGCTGGATCCACTTCACATCAAGCGTTTCTTGAGGGCCTACTATGTGCCAGGCACTGAAAGGTGAGTCAGTGACAAGTTTGGGCTACCCACCATCAACTTCAGCTTCTGCTCTGTTTCAGTTTCTGAAACGAGAAGCAGAAATGGGGCCTCTCAAGCCCCGTCTCTCAAAATATGTCCTGTGCGCTTTCCCCACAGTGCATGGAAGCCAACTAATTTGGATTTAGATGTCTGGTTAAACATGTTAACTAGCACCCTTCTCCCCATATTATCCCTCATCAATAGCACCGCTATTGTTATTCACTTTACAGACTCATTGTTCTGGTTTCTTTTTTTTTTTTTAAATAAAGTGTGTGACTCTGGGGAAGGTAGATTCTGTTTGAAGCAAGCCTACACTGTTTTGTACTAGAAAAGGCTATGGATTCTATAAGGACTGCTATGCTTTTTCTTTTCTCTTAATGAGACTTAAGTTTTATTTCTCTTTTTCCTTTGGCTGCCAGGGAGCTCAGGGAAAATTTAAAGTTTGGCTTTGGCAAGTACGAAGGCCCTAAAGCAGGCCTTCCCATTTCTGCTTTTGTTTCCTAATTTGGCTTTTCTACTTTTATTTGCATTTTCTCAGGTCCTTGATTTTAAACAATTAAAATTTTAAAAAATTATTACCATTGTGTTATCTTTATTTTATTCTAAGTGATCTCCTTAGAAGCTACTTCCAATCCTTTGTGGAATAACACAGGAGTATAAGTGAATAAGTGAATGTAACACATTCTATTTTAAACCAGGAGTCGGTAAACCTTTTCTAAGGAGCAGATCATAAACGTATTTAAGCTTTGCATGCCACATGGTCTCCACAGCAACTACTCAACTCTGCCCTTGCAGCATGAAATCAGCTATAGACAATACGTAAATGAATGGGTGTGGCTGTGTTTCAATAAAACTTTATTTACAGAAGCAGGTGTAAGACAGATTAGGCCTGGGGCCTTTCTGTAGTTTGCAGCCCTCTGTTTTAAAAGAATTTCAGAGCATTGGGAAGTTGTTCCCTCTGCAGCTGGGAAGAACTTGGCTTAGAAAAGAAGTGAATTTCCATCCCCGGGAGGTGGGAATCCTGTCCAAGATGTCTGGTTTCCACTTCTGGGTGATGGATGGGGGAAGAGCAGCCGCACACGCTGTCTGGACAGTGGGCTCTCGAGAGGGGCTGGCGGTGCCCGGGAGGGGTCAGGCCCCGATGGCGCGGGCTCTGAAGACTGCCAGCGCGAGCCTCCTGTCCTGCCCACTCGCGGTGCGTGCTCCCTGGGGGGGAGGGGGTGCTGGGGGCAGGACCCTGGAGGTGCACGGCCGGCCGGTTCCCTTGCTCGGGCCAATGGGCCTCGGGCTGCCGCGGACGTGGTTCATGGAAGGAATGTGTCTGCAGTTCCAAATTCCCACAGAGAAAGACAAGGGGGACCGTTGGGGAGAAATTCCTGGGCCACATTTTTCTTGCTGCTCATGTGGCCTGAAGCCATTGAACTTGGCCAGACTGCCCAGAGAGGGAGTTTACAAAGCCCATTGTCCTTTGCTGAGCCTCACCCCCGCCCCTGCTCCCACCTGCTCTTTCTGTCTTCCTTTCTTTCCTCTCCCACCGCCAGGAGAAGTGCAGCATGGGAAAGAGCAGGCGGCCCCAGCATGGGCTTCCGCTCCCTGCCCCAGACCGAGGCCAGAACCCTATTACAATCCCCATTTTCCTGCTGGGGAAACTGAGGCACAGAGCTGCTCAGTGACTTACCTGGGGCCCCGCAGCTAGTAAGTGGAAGAGACAGGATTTGGATTGAGGTGTCTGGCTCCAGCGCGACCCTTACCTGTCACTCTCGGTGTGTGACCCCTCAGCTCAGTATCCCATTTACAGATAAAGCCCTAAGGGCGTGTCACCGCAGTTCAGTTCCAGCAACAATTCAGGGGACAAAGCATTTGCACAGATAGGCCCTGCGCCCTCTGGAGGCTCCCAGCACCCCCGAGTGCCACAGAAGCCCAGCCCCTCCACCAGGAGCTAGGCCCGCTTAGCTGGGAGCACAGCACTGTGAGCTGGGGGTAACCAGTCCCCCTTGCTGTTGTCGCCATTGCTGCCGCAGCTGCGGACGGTGCAAGGGGGGGACCTCATTACCGGGGAGCCTTTGAGAGTTTGCAAAGTGCCAGCCCCTCGGCTTGGCGACTTACGTGCACTATATGTCACTGACATGGCAACCCTGGGAGGGAGTGTTGACAAGCCTGTGTCACAGGTAAGGAAACCAGCACATTAACGGGCTGATGGATGCTCGCTGCTGTGACGCAGGGCAAATCTCAGTGGATTAACCCTATAAACACTTTCTTGCTCAGGTCACCACCTCTTGTGGGCCAGCACGAAAGGGAGGAGGGAGGGGGCTCTGCTCCATGTGCTCACTCGGGGACTCAGGCTACTTCTAGGATCACAGCGTCCTCCCCTGGATCCCTCCCGTCTGCTTGTCAGAGGAGGGCAATGGGAGCGGGAGAGGTCAGGGGGTTTGCGGGGCTGCGAGTGGCCTGTGTCGCCGTCCCACTCACATTCCACTTTCCAGAGGGCAGTCACGTGGCTGTCTTCCTGCGGGGGAGGCTGGGACGCAGAGTCTGTCTGCAGGGCCCTAGGAAAAGGCAGGGGGTTTGGCTGCCACCCTGGGCTTCAGAGCAGTGAGGTGCCGTGAGGGGCTGTGGAGACGTTTGATGCCCAAGCTTGTGTTTTGCCACCAGGCTGCCTTGACTGGAACGGATGCTGAGCTGTCTGCAGTGAATTCCAGCTTCCAGCATCTTGAAAGACCCTCGGTCCTTCCACGGGGCTGGGGATGGGGCTGAAGGTCCCGAGGGCTGTGAGGATGAGCTGGGACACGAAGAGCTTGACCCGGTAAATGCCCCACAGGCTGTCCCTCCTAGCGCTGCTGCAGCCAGCAGTGCTGGGCATGGGGAGGGCTGGACTGAGAGGATTTCAGCCCCGAGGAGAGAGGTGGGGGCGGCCGAGTCCACAGGAAGGAGTTCCAGCACGTGTGCTTGCTGCTGCCAGCTGGGTGGGAAGGAGAAGGCGCAGGACCACCCGCTTCCCATGGCTGGTTCTGGGGAGAAGTGTCCAGGCCACTTCTGTCCGTCTCGATGCCCAACAGGCAGCTGAGCAGAAGCTGGCCGTGACCATGTGTCTAAAGCATGGACACAGGGATGGGTGAAGCTCCTGTCCCCCAGGGTTTTGCTGTGGAAGCAGCAACTCCTCCAGGATGTTCTGCCCAGGCCTTGACATCCTGCTCAGTCCGGAGGGCTCCCTGCCACGTAAGGCAGAGCCTCTGGGTACACTGTGGATTCCTGTACCTAGTTACTCCCACAGGACGCTGGGATGCCCGGGACGATGGGCATGGGGTGGGCCCCCTCTAGCTGGCCTTGGTGGTGGCAATGAGATTCCAGCTGGACGGGGATGTGCTGCTGAGCTCGACAGAAGTGCCCCCTTGGGAGGGAGAGGCCTGGCAGTCTCTCCAGAGACACATAGGACCTCTGGCACAGGACCGGCTGCTGAGGGACAGGGTCCACAAGCTCCTAGTGCCATCCTCTGCCAGGTCACACACAGGCGCGCACACACACACACACACACAGACATACACAATTTCCAGGGGCCTGTTGGTTTCCGATGGCTGGGTCAGACCCAGTTCTAGTGTCTGATAACTCCCCAGGACCACTGCGCCTCACCTCCTATTTACTCAGTACCAGCTGGGGCTCAGTCACCCTCAAAGCCTCTCCTTCTGTGGCCTCCACACCCTTCCTGCACCCAGGTCTGGGTCCACCCAACAGATTTCCTGAACACCGAACCCCGGAAGCATTTTTCACACGATGGACTCCAACCATTCGAGGGTCATGAAATCAAAGCAGTGGGTCTTGACCAGTATTTTTAAAAGTGAGATAGACTCCTATAGAACAGACAGTGCCAGTGGGCACTGCATGTAGGAACGGCCCTGCTTCGTGACACCCTTGTCTCAGCGTGCGCTGGGCCCTGCAGTGCCATATCATGTTTATTTCTCATTATCAAAAAAAGTGTCAAAACACTGTGTTGGCATGTCCATCTCATTTCTTCCAGAAAACTGGGGCTCTTTGTGCAAATTAGTCCACAAATTTCTCCTCCTCCTTTATCTCTGCTGCCAGCTCCCCGTCTGCTGCATGCCAAAGATGGGCACAGTCTTGGCCAAGCCACTCAAAAACAAAAAACTGGACCCACCACCAACAGGCACTAAAGGTCCTGTTATGAGCCCACCCCAGGACTCCGGCTGCTTATTTGTCTGTCATTTGCACACCCAACAGGGCCACTTAAGTGATGCTTCATGGGACAAAGAAGATCAGCTTCTCCCAATTTAAAGAACAGAACAGAACAGAGAGAACCCTCGGCCCTGGACATTCCTTCCGTGCTGGCTCCTGCACAGTGGGCTGGGCGGACAGCACTTTCTCCAACATATTCCTTTGACAGTTATTTGTGTCGCGCCACTCTGTGCCAGACACAGGAAACCAAACCAGAAGCCCTGCCCCCGATGCCCCTTCTCAGCCCAGGCCCGAGTAGGTGTGATGAGGACCCACGGCTCCCGCCTGCCTCTCCAGGCCTCTTCCTCCCAGAGGAAGGTGCTGCCCGCTGTGGGTATGTTCCGGCCGGCCCCACGTGCTCCAGCTCCACCCCAAGCCTGCCAGGAGAGGCCTGGTTCTCCAGGATGCTGGGATCCTCGACCAGTCTTACACTGCGGGGAGGGGAGGTCCTCAAGGGTATTGAGCACCTGCTGTGTACTAGGCACTGCTGTATCCCGCCATCCCCGCCAAGGCCCATCAAGGTCATTATTACCACCATCCCACGAGGCTCAGGGAGGTGAGGGGGCTTTCCTACGCGGTGCTCACAGCCCGGAAAAGCCAGTTCTTTCCCGGATCTCTCGGACTCTCGCCTCTCTGCTTTTCCCAGAGGGGCTGCAGGAAGAGGGGAAACCCACAGGGGCGGAGCGGAGGAAGGCAAGCCAGGTCTTGTGGGTTCGGGCCCCAAGAGCGTGGGCTGGATTGCTGAGGTCAGTGGAAGCAGGGTCCTACCGAGAAGGGCCAGTGGCTCTGGCAGCTTCACGGCTGTATTAGTTGCCCAGGGCTGCCGTGACAAATTGCCACGGACAGGTGGCCTACAACAACAGGAATTTGTTCTCTCAGAGTTCTGGAAGCTACAAGTCCAAAATCATGGTGTTGGCAGGGCCGCGTTCCCTCCGAAGGCTGAGGGAAGGATCTTTTCTGTGCCTTTCTAGTAGCTTCTAGGTGTTCCCAGGCAATCCCCGGCATTCCTTGGCTGGTAGCCCCATCACTCCAGTCTCCGTCTCCATCTTCGCATGACCTCTTCCTCGCGTGTCTGTGTGTTCACATCTCCCTCTCCTTTCTTTTCCCAGCTTTATTGAGGTATAATTGGCAAATAAAATTCTAAGATATTTAAAGTGTCTATACGTGTACATTAGGAAAGGATTCGCCCCATCTAGTCAGTTAACGCACTCATCGCCTCACAGGTATCTTATTTTTTGGTGAGAACATTTACATTCTACTCTCATCCCATTTCAATTATACGATCCAATTACAGTTGTCACCTGTAGTCACCACGCTTCCCGTGAGATCCTCAGAACTCATTCACCTTATAGCTGACAAATTTCCCTCTTCTTATAAGGACACGGGTATTGAATTTGGGGCCCACCCTACTCCGGTATGACCTCATCTTAACAAATTGCATCAGCGAAGAAGCTATTTACAAATAAGGCCACATTCTGAGGTTTTGGGTGGACATGAATTTTTTAGGGGTAACAATGACCTCGCGCTTTCCCAGGCGCGGCCTCCCCAGCTGTTTCCCGCTAGTCCAGTCTGCAGGACAGTGTTGGGGACAGCTGTGAGCTCAGAACCCAGGGGGCATCTCTGACCTTCAGAAGGACTTCCAATTCAGGTGTTTTCTAGTGACTGTAACCCCAGTTTTTAACATTCTGGTACTCCAGAAGAATGTGACTTTAAAAAATGCTGAGCTACAGGTGTTTTAGTGATATATTTTTTAAAAATCGGAAACGTTTATGCTCCCAGATATGCTGCAGTGGAAGTTTGGATCCAGTAAAGGCAAACTTGTCTAGAAAGTCGTCTTCTCTTCCTCCAAAATCCACGGAGGAGGAAGAGAACCACTAAGTCCTTATTCTGGTTCAAAGGCTTCCCAGACCAGTGGCATTCAAACACAACGGCCTGGAAATTGCTCCAGCGACCGTCCACACCTCCACCTCTCCAGGGGAACGCTGGGGAAGACAGAGACAAACTGGGAACTCTTCCTTTGAGTTAAAACTAGAGCTCGTGATCAATTCAAAAATGGAGTTCCTGCCAACAACAAAAAGAAGTGAAAAAAAAAATCTCTAAAGTATCGACTAAGAAATAGGATTATTCGAAGATGAAGAGCTCAAAAAATAAGATTTGTAGGGGCCGGCCTGGTGGCACATCGGTTGAGTTCGCACGTTCTGCTTCCCAGCGGCCAGGGGTTCGCCGGTTCAGATCCCAAGTACGGACATGGCACCACTTGGCAAAAGCCATGCTGTGGCAGGCGTCCAACATGTAAAGTAGAGGAAGATGGGCCAGGTGTTAGCTCAGGGCCAGTCTTCCTCAGCAAAAAGAGGAGGATTGGCAGTAGATAGCTCAGGGCTAGTCTTCCTCGGAAAAAAAAAAAAAAAGATTTGTAGTTTGCTTGAAATTTAGCTTAGAACAATCTTCTCACCAGTGCAGACTAAAAGGTTTTTTAGCAGCTGGCAAAAATGGGCACAATAATACACTCATGATTCAAAAATAACATCAAACAGTATGATTTCAAGTGTTCGTTATTATTAAAATTTTCTTTATTTTGTATGGCTTGGTTTGTAATTTCCTTTTAAAGCTAAGTAGTTCCTCCTCACTTTCTTTTTTTTTTAATTTTTAATTTTTTTTTTAAAGATTTTATTTTTTTCCTTTTTCTCCCTAAAGCCCCCCGGTACATAGTTGTATATTCTTCACTGTGGGTGGGTCCTTCCAGTTGTGGCATGTGGGACGCCGCCTCAGCGTGGTTTGATGAGCAGTGCCATGTCCGCGCCCAGGATTCGAACTAACGAAACACTGGGCCGCCTGCAGCGGAGCGCGCGAACCTAACCACTTGGCCACAGGGCCAGCCCCTTGGTTTGTTATTTTTGAATAGTATTTTATTAATTTCATCCGCTAACAATTTTATTAGAAGGGTAATATTTTTCATGTTCATATTTCGTAGGTTTATGTTTTCACCTAATGTTTTAATATGTAAATGTTTTTAATTTGAAATGGATAAAATATTTAGCTTCACTGAATTTTAAAATTTTATGTATTCTGTATACCACTTTATGGAAGATATTGATAATTAACGTTGATATGTTAGAAATAGAGGGAATAAATACCTGCCTTCCTGTGTGTCATTTTGCTGCGGCAACTGCAATTAGTTGTCTTACTAATTAGCCACCGCTAACCATGTGCCAGACGTGGCGCTTAATGCTCTATACGGAGCTGCTTTTGTTATTTGAGGCCATTTGACAGATAAAGAGCCTGAAGTTTAAGGGGTTATGTGACTCGCTCAGGACCCCAGACCTGGGGAGAGGCTGGGCCAGAATTGAAAATCAGACAGTGTGACTGAACACCTGGCCTTAACCACAGCCCCACATGGCAAATAACTGGGGGTGTCAAATTAGTCAGCCAATACATAATAACTATCATTTCCTAGCTATCTTTAATTTTGAGTGTTTATTATCTACACTAGGGTTCACAGACTTAAACCCTTAGAGAGATCAGGCAGACAAGACGAACTGAAAAAACAGGTGTGGAGGGCAATAGGGAGTGGTGGGGATTCTGGTCAACTCATGAATACTTTGTCTAAAAGGGGCAGCTGTTATTGAGCTCCTGCCAATTGTTTATATGGAGAAAGCAGGCCCAAATTTACCCTATAGAAATCTCTATTCTTTATGGGTAAAATCTTTTCCTTTTAAAAATATTTCATGAGCCAAACAAAATATGTCGAAGGGCCAGAATCAGCCCAAGGGTCATCAGCCCTGGTTTGCCGCATGAGGACTAGACTCATGTCATTGTTCTTGTCATTGTCTAGTTCTTGTCATTGTTTGCCTCCCTCTTCCATCACTTTCAGCTCTCTTCCTGATTTTGAGTTATTGCTCCTTCATTGATTTAGTTTATCAAGCCCCTTTAAGAGTCAAGCACCACGCTCCGAGGGCACAGATGTAGTCCCCTCCTTCCGGAGCTCAGAGTCCAGCGTTGGGTAGCATGGATGTTTTGCTCCAGAGCAGCACTTCTCACATTTGAATATGCACACAAATCACGCGGGACTTGCTATAACACAGGTCCTGTTGCAGTAGTTCCAAGTGGGCGCTAGAGTCTGTATTCCCATCAAGCTCCCAGGGGATGAGGATGCAGGTGGTCCATGGACCAAAACCTGAGTAGGAAAGACCTGGACTAACGAACAGCCTTGTGTCTAAGAAGGTCCCTGAGCTGACAGCTCTCCTCTATACCTGGGCTTCCCAGAAGTGACCTGGGTCGTCCAACCCCCCACCCGCTAATCCCCTGCCACATTCCTCCCCACATCCTAATTTATCTAGAGATTTAGTCTAGCTGAGATCACTCATAAAGAATTTTATCTACATCTTTGTTCTGAGCTGGCCCTGAGCGTGCCTCCTCCAGCACATCACCTCTTCCCTATCTGGTGCTCATGTCTCTATCTGAGGAATTTCTGTCTATGCCTTTCTGTGTCTCAGAGCCGAGGTGCCCAGCACCCGCCTGGGCTCCTGCTAAGAGTGAGACCCCGGAGTGGGACTCACGTGGATGGACGGTGGACTCCACCTTGAACTAATCATGCGACTTCAGACAAGTTACCCCTCTGTGCCTCGGTTTCCACATCTGTCAAACAGGGTGTAATGTCCACTCACCGGGGTGTCAGGAAGATTGAGCCAATACAGTTTAGAGCACCCTTCCCATTTCCTTTTCTAAAAAGAAACTCAACAAACGACTTTAAGAATCTCCTGTTGCTTGTGTCCTGCAGAAAATGTTAATATAGGGAACTCATTTCTATTGCTGTCCCAGGCACGTGGCCAACTGCTCTCGGAGGAATGAGCAGCTTTCCTTTGGTGAGTGGCCCCTCATTCTGTCAGTCAGCAAACAGGTGCCTGGGGTGGACGTGTGAGGTAAGAGGGGCAAGCCATACAGAAGGCGGCAGACAGATGACAGTCACCATAGGTGGGTGAGTGCCACACACGCGTGTCTGCAAAGTCAGGAAATGTAAAAACATTATATAGCAGGTTTGCCAAATTTTTCAATAATATTCTCAACGTGTTTTCAGGCGAAACACCTCTAAGAAACAATGGACCCAGTTGTCAATCAATAAATACACCACGCAGTGTCCAAAAAGTCACAAGATTTAGATAAAGTACTATATTTGTTTTACTTTTTAAAAGATAAACAACTGAGGGCCAGCCCCATGGCTGAGTGGTTAGAGTTCTGTGCACTCTGCTTCAGCAGCCTGGGTTTGTGGGTTCGGCTCCTGAACGCGGACCTACACCACTCATCAGCCATGCTGTGGAGGCATCCCACACACAAAATGGAGAAAGATGGGCACAGAGGTTAGCTCAGGGCTAATCTTCCTCAAAAAAAAAAAAGAAAAAGAGGAAGCTTGGCAATGGATTTAGTTCAGGGCGAATCTTCCCCCCCCCCCCCCCCCAAAAAAAAACGGTAAAATAACTGGACCCAGTGCTTTAAATTTAGAGGCATTTTATCTGAAAAGGTGTCTGGAGGTTGAAGAAAAGCACACCAAGCAGATTATTTGACAAGGTTACTAACACACTTTTTAAAAATGGTCCTGTTTCTCGATTTTGCAGACAACCTGTTATACTACTTGCTCACGTTATTGAGTACTTAACACAGGCCAGGTGTTGTCCTAAGATAGGTGCATAATGTCACAACAACACTATGGGGCAGGTACTTTTAAAAAAGTTTTGATTTTGAAATAATTCTAGATTCACAGGAAGTTGCAAGGAAATGTACAGGGAGGTCCCATGCACCCCTCCCCCAGCCTCCCCCAGCGTTCACATCTTGCACAACTGTTGCACGGTATCGCGACCAGGAAGCTGACCTTGGTACGATCCACAGAGCTGACTCAGGTTTCGCCAGTTCCACACGGTCTCCTGTGTGTGTGCATGAGGGGGGGCTCTATGCAATTTTATCACATGTCACGAAACCATCACCACAGTCAAGATACTTAACGGCACCATCATCAGAATGCGTCAAGCCAGGTTTCCCCGCTGCCAGCCTGGGCTTCTGTGCTCTCACAGTGACCCAGTCATCTTTATCCCCAAAGTGCCTCTCTTCCTCCGCATCCTTTCTTAGTTGCCCAGCAACCTGGCAGGGATCCTGGGCTCCACCTCCAGCATCCGGTCCCTCACTGGGTCAGGCTGTTCTGCCTCTCAGCCATCCCCCTATCTTCCTGGCCCCTTACTTACGAGCCTTTGGTGGCTCCTCATTGCCTGTAAGATTGTCCAGATTCCTGAGCCTGAGACACAAGGCTTTTGGGGCTCTGACTCAGGCTGGCTCTCCTGCTAATCCAGCCACATTGCTCTCCCACCTGACACTGCACGTGCAGCGCCACACTGAATGAGGGCAGTCAAGCTGCCTCATGCCCCAGGACATTTGCACAACTGTGTGCATCTCTTCCTGTGCTCCTCCTCTGAGCCAGGCACTGAGCACTGGGCTGAAGCTGTAGCTATGAATCAGTCATGGACCCTTCCCTCAAGAAGCCCTAAGTCTAATGAGAGAAATGTTAACTGCCCCAGCAAAGAAAAGAAGGTGAAAAACCACGAGGTCCTTTCAACAGTGTGTGAAAGGGGTGGCCACAGAAGCAAGTGAAGGTTCGAATGAGAACGCCTGAGGTGGGAGAAGGCGGGATGAGGATGAGCAGCAGCAAGTCTGGATCCATGTGCCCGCCCCCGTGCAGGTAGGACACCTCCTGGAGCCCCCACAGCCACAGAGGTGGCCCCCACCGTGCAGCAGAAGGCTGTGGGGTCAGGGAGTCAGGCAGAGTGTCATACCTGCCGAGGGGAGACTGAGCCAGCTCACTGGGCTAAGGACCATGTTATACTGGCCCCGTGGGCAGCCCCGGGTGGCCCAGTAAAGGCTCTTTCTGATGGGCCTCATTCAAGAAGGATGGCTTCAGTTAGATCACCTAATGGACCACGGGCTCTGTCTGCAAGGATGCAGGGCAGGCCACGCACCCCAGGAAAGATTCTAGTCACCGTCTGTGGGTGGGGGGAGTTCCACCTAATGGCTCCTCTGCCTTAGTGGCTTAGGATGTGGGAGACGCGGAGACTCCGGGCAAGCGGTCTCGGCAGCAGATGCAGGAGTGTTTCTAACAACAGGACCGACGGAGAGGACAGAGGGCAGGGGTGACTTCGGGCCCAGGGCCTGGTGCTGGACA